GGGGGGGGGGGGGGGGGGGGGGGGGGGGGGGGGGGTTAGCATTAATCTGGAAATAAAATAAATAAAACTAACAGTGGAGAGAAATGGAAATGATTCGACTGCCGTCACACAGCGGCACACAGATCGGATCGGATCGGATCGGATCGGATCAGATCGCACCGCTTAGCTGAGAGCCAGGAGTGGCTCCAGTTCGAGTGGATCCGCCTTGGGACTCGCCTTCTTTCGATACTTCTTCTGCAACTTCGTCTTGGCCAGCTTGGACTTGGACTTGGAGGTGATCTTGGCCTTGCCAGCGTATTTGCCGGGCGACTGCTTCTGCCGGGCCGACTCCTCCTCGAGTGCCTTCTCCCGGTCGAGCAGCTCCAGCTGCTCAAAAATATTCTTCGGGTGGGGATGTGTGCTGGGTGCGGTGGCATTCTTGGCCGCATACACCACCACGAACTGGGAGAATGCCGAGTCCGCTGGGGTATTGATGTCGGCAAAGTCACGGAAGTTGGCAAATTGCTCCTCTGGGTAGGTGTACTTCTGGACAAAGCCCTCGCTGGGCCGTCCGTGTCCGTTGTTTGCGTCCCCGTAGATGTAGTCGCTGTTGTCCTCCGGATGGTAGGGCATCTCCTCCTCCGGGTAGAAGGTGCCGCCCCTCAGCACTCCAAAGTCACCGCTACCCAGAATGCTGGCATCGAAGTTACGCTGCTGCGGATGCACCTGCGACTGCTGCTGTGGATGAGGAAGAGGATGTGGAAGAGGCTGCACCGGCACCTGCTGCGGCTGCTGTTGCGGATGTTGTCCCGGCGCCAGTAGCGGCAGTGGCAGCGACAGGGGTGTGCTCTCCGAGACAGTGCCGTGTCCGTGTCCAAAGTAGGGCCGCGAGTGGCCCAGTGGCGGTGCCTCGTGGTAGAACGGGGGATAAAAGTTCTGGGCCGCCTGGCTGTGCGAGTCGGCGCCCACATCGGAGCGGGCCACCAGAGCCACTTTCGTGTTCGGATTGGCAATGGGACGGAACTGCTCTTGCTCTGGCTCCTGCTGGATGGGTGCCTGGAACTGCCTCGGCTGCAGCTGGGTGGTGGGCGGCATGTGGAAGTGCTGCTCCTGCGAGCGCAGCACCGTAATGGGGGTAAAGTCGTTCGGCTCCATCAGCATGTCACCATCTTCCTCTGGGAACTCCTCCGCTGCAAAAGAAAAGAGAAATCGATCAGTTAGAGACTTGGCTGCTTCAGTAGGTGGGAATGTGGATGTGGATGTGGACTTGACGGTGGATGCCACTCAAACCGAGTGCCGGCACAAGTGCTTGCTGCCCGCGGCTGCTTCGAGTGATGCGTGGCGGTGCAGAGGAAGACTCTTAGTGTCTGTGTGATGATGTTTGACATCAAGTGGTGAAATGTGTTGCCGAACATGTGCTTATGGGTCCATCATAGCCATAACGACAACGATGACTGACACCACGACAGAGACAAACGCTGACGCTGAGAAGGAAACGAAAGTCTTTCGACATCATTTCCGCTCCGATGAATCCCTGAAAAAAGGTCACACGGAAATGAACTTCAATCCAGACCCATGGATTTGTCTACAATCCGATGAACTATCACGATTCTCCTGTAATTGGAGACAAACTTTGCATGTCTTTGAGACACTTTCCCCCCCATTCAATCAATATTCTAAAATATATTCCAAGACTGGAGAAAAATTCATCGTGGAATCGTTGAACGGACTGCCCAACTTGTTGTCCATTTTAGCCTGGAAATTCTTTGCTAATTTTATCTCGGGTAAGGAACTCGAGCCCCTCTGTGTGTTTGACTGCTTGGAAAATTCTTGTAGCAGACTTGGACAGACTCCGCAAACTCGCCGCGAAGTCGTACGCCAACTCAATTAAATTCGTCCAGCGCGCTCTGGTCTGGCTCTGCGTCGAAGTCCGAGTTCAAGTCTGGCTTGGCTCTGGGAACTGGGATCTGTGCTGTGTGTGCGCATGGGGTCTGCTCAAGCAGTCAAATGTCGTATCGATAAAAGTCGATAATAATGTGAGCCGTGGCAGCGGCAGCGGCAGCTGGCATAAATTGTAAGCCGTCCCGTCCCATGTTCTAGGCATAAATGTTTTGGCCCCTCAACCTCTTCAGCCCCACTCGGACTCGGACTCCGACTCCGACTCGGACTCGGACCCCACCCTCAGCCAGGAGCTGGAGCCGGTGCCGGAGCGGAGTGGAGCGGAGCGCCTGCCTTTCATATGCTGCCTGCCTCCACTCAATTTTTGGTTTCAACACAATTGTTGTTGCTTTAAGTTGTTGTTGATTTTTATTTTGTTTTTTTTTTTTTTGGTGTTTATGTCTCTTTTTTCAGCTTCTCTTTTTGTTTGGAATTTTTCAGAGTTTTCACTGCATGCAATGTTGGCGGCAATTTCTTGGCCTGACACCCGCTGGTAATTTCTATACGCTCTCTCAGTGGGTATCGTGGCATTAGCAAGCAGTTCCATTGAAGCAGTTCCCGAGCTAACAAACCCTCAAGCAGTTGGAATTCTCAGGCATAACGAGAATAAGTGCACTGGTTGATTTGTTGTCACTGATTTCGCAGCCTCTCTGCGTAACATTGGAACTGCTTGCATTGGATTTTAAAGTTTTAGATTAACAATTGATTTTAGGTAAAGTTCCTATGACATTTGTGATATATCTGCCATGGAAGCCAGTGGCTCCGCAAGAGTATTCGGTGGTTCGGCCTCTCCCTGCCGCACTTCCTTTAATGTTGAGAGCTCTGCGACTGGCAAACGCTGAACATAATGAGTTTGTTAAGTGTAATTGGGTAGTGCTTTGGCTCTGCGGACTCCCGGCAAAAAGTCCGAGTATATTTTTGGCTTTTGCTTGTTTTTTTTGTTTATTTCTTTCTGTTTTTTCGAGCGATGCCTGATAGTGTTCGGTGCGCTGCCAGAAATGGGTCAAACACATCGAGCGATATGTCGTGTGGTAAGTATAGATTACTTTATTATTATTTATTTGCCTTGGTGGTGGCTAGGGGCTGGTGCCTAGTGTGACGGCTGCTGCACGTTTCGACCATTCGATTTGGCTAATTTAGAAAATTGCCTCGTTTTGTGCCTGGTGGCTGGCTGGCTGCTAGCTGCTGCCTGGTGGGATCTGAATCTGGCCACTGCCACACATAATCGATCAAAAGATACAAAAGACACCCAAAACAAATTGGAAAGCCATCGATCTGTGTGCATTTTCAATGCATCCAGAGCCAATAAACAAAATCAAAATCAAATCAGACAAAATTGTTGTGTCCAAGAGCATAAATTTGTAGTTTCTGTGTCTCTGTTTTGGGGTGTCTCATCAATCATCATTCGAAGCGAAAAGAGTTGCGATTGAACGAAAGAGTCAAAGCGGCTGCCCCAGCGTCAATAAAAAGTGAATAAAACAAACAAAAGTCCCACAAAAACACAAAGCAAATAAAACGTCACGAAATGGGGCTTTCTCCAGTCTTCCCTGCAGCTCAATTTTCACCTGATCTTCATGTGAGTATCACTCGAGACCGAGACTCTTTCTTCCGAGTTGTTTTCATTGCATTTATGTAGGTGAAGTGCAACAGCATGTGTCTCAGCTTTATCCTTTGGTTGGATTCTCCTTAATTGTATTCCATTTAATTTATGAGAAATTCACAAACTATTGCTGAGCTTTGGCAATTCCTCGAACAACCCCAAACTCACGAGTTGTCTAATTAAAATGGGAATTATGAAAGTGCTAAAAAGACAAAGCGCCATAAAATCAGCCAAAAGGAAAAGTGGAGTAAAGCAGCGAGAGAAAGGCATGAGAGGAGAAGGCAAGCAGAAGGTGCACGAGCGTTGGATATTAATTATAATTATATGTTTACACATATACAGATACAGATACAGATACAGATACGAGTGGGAAAAAGAGGAGCAGCAGTGTGGGGCACTTGTAACATGATGACCCTGATGACGATGTTGTTGCGTTCGAGTCTCTTGGCACGATTCGAGCTCCACTCTGGCCTGGGTACAGTGGGGCGTATATGCGTTAAATTGAGCGCGTCGTGCCCACAACCAACCATCCATCCAACCAACCAACCAACCCATGGGTGTGTGTGTGTTCGAGTGTGCTGCGAGTGTGTGCAAGCACCATGACATGGACATGTGTTTAGTCATTTACTGGCCACAATCCAGCGAAAATTGCACATTGCGATCGTCAGAGTCACCCGACAGCCAGCCATCCAGCCAGCCAGCCAGCCAGCCCATCGTCTGTCTGCCTTCTCGATGAGACTTCTTCAATTTCAGTTTTTGCTGATTGTATCTGATTGCTGTCAGCTGTGGCTTTCGGCGTGGGCGTCAGCCGTATAATTAACACATTGTTAATGTCTCTGTGTGGATATCTGCATTTGCATTTGTATCTGTGACTGCGTATCTGTCTCTGTGTGCTGCAATGTTCGCTGGTGTTTGGCTGAGCAATGAGGCAATTGGGCACGGGGGGAAGCGTGTCTAAGTGGGCGTTAAATGGCCGCCTCATTGCGTCCACCATTATCGTCGTCATCATCATCATCATCGCCAGCCTCTTGGGCAGGCCCACTTATCGCCTTGCACCAAGCGGACATATAATAAACGATCCCCAGCTGAAGCACCGCCGATGTCTGTCTGTACAGAGATGCAAATGAGCAGAGCGACTCCAGGAAGAGTCGCAGCAATCAAACTGCTACTTGGCATGCCCAATGATTTGAGTGTTGCTGAAGTGAACGAAGATGGTTCAGCAGTGCTGATAAACGACTTTCTGGGGGATCTACTCTCTACGGATTGTTTCTGGGGCATTGACTAGAATAGTTGTTAGCCTGTAGTTTGACAACCCACATGAAGAGCTATGATTACAAGCACAAGGTCACATTGCCAGAAAGCTGCTGACGTTAACCAACACTACCAATTCTATAGGTACTGTACCAGAACTGGAGAATATTGCAAAGACAGTTTTATTGAACGAATTCTGTTAATTCTGTGATGCATTTTGTGTAGAGGTAACGCTCCAGGGAGGACTCTGCCAGCTCTGTAGCAAGGAAACATTCAACTTATTGCAACACTCTCAGTACTTGGACTCCCCTTCTGCGCCCCCACATTCCCAGCCTCCTGCTGGCATCGTCGAAAGACATTCGCCAACACTTTCGTTGCATTTCCCAAGCCTCTCCATCACTCATTCAGCTCATATTCATTTCAGTTTCAGCCTTATCCATTTTCACCATCGCATCGCCTGGAGCTGCAACTTGTGGCTGCGGCTGGGGTCTTGGCTGTGGCTGAGTTAGCGGCTTGGGGGCACTCCCCAGTTAGAGTATACCCGCTCCTGCATCCCCTGTGGCAAGTCATCAGCGGGTCTATGAAATTTTCCGGCACTTTGTTGGCACTTACAGCACCGCATGCGTGTAAACACACCGATCAGGTCGTGGGTTGTTTCGTGTCTGTCTTCCAGTCTATCTCTGTCCCTGTCTCCATCAGCGTCTCGCTATGTGTCTCACTATCTCAGTTGCTGTCTCAGTGTGTATCTGTGTGTATCTGTGTGTATCATAAATTTCAAAATCAAAACGAGCTGCAATCGTCACTTTCACTGCTGCTCCGATCCACAACAGGTTGGGGGTATACAAACAACATAATTATGGGACGGAGAGAGGGAGAAAAGTACCGGGTATTATTCGTGTCTGGGAGCTTAGCTTTGACCTTTTGTCATTCAATGTCAGGCAGCCAATACTTTGACAGAGAACTTTCACTTTTTAGCGATCCAACAGCGATCACCGTGGCACAACCTTTTGTGCCCCATAATTCTGGATGGAGTGTATTTATTAGTCGTGATCGTTAGACCCACTCAAGTTGGGCAGCGGGGGAAGACTATTAAATGGTAGATGGGGTCTGGTCTGGTTTGGTCTGGCAATGACAACTGTCATCGTCGTGTCTAGGTTATTTATAAGGTCGTTTTCCAGCAGTGTCTCTTGCATTCGTAACGAAATGCTGGCAATTAGCTGCTTTTTATGTTACAATTTAATGACACTTTTGTCTACGTTTCTGTACACGTACATAAACCCCGGAGTATCTATCTATCTATGTATATTTCTCTCTCTCTCTCTCTCTCTCTCTCTCTCTCTCTTTCTGGTTTTTTTCGTGTCATGTTTTCCGCATTGAGGCGAGCCAACAACCTTGAAGTCG